ACGTTGTTTTTAAACCGGGCTAGAATTTATAGTTCCAAATTGCAAAATGTGATCCAACTGATCTGCGATGCGCGTACCTTCAAATTAATGAGCTTCATTTTGATGTGGGAAGTTTCGTTCCCTATCATACTTTGCAGGGTTGCCACAAAATTTAGAAAATGAAATTCCCCGACACTCTTGAGTAAAATTCCCTGACAATTGAAGTATGCCTTAAGGCTAAAAAGGCATGATTTGGAATAGTTTCAGGGCAAAACTTGTTGTTCTGAACGTTAAATCCACTGTAGAAAGCTAATACAGGTAAATTAAAAAAGTTTCACTGACATTTTCGTCACGACATTTCGTCTGACATTTCCAGGTTTCCTCTGACTTTTAAGACTTCCCTGACATTTTGGCCATTTTCCCAGAAATTTCCAGGTCTCCTCAGATTTTTGAAAATTCCCTGGCATTTCCTGGTATTCCCTGACTGTGGCAACCCTGATTTGATGGGGAAACGAAAATTACTACAACTACATGTCAAATAAGTGTACGCACAGTAGCGCATTTTGCGTGTTTATAATAGATAATTAAAATGAAAAGTCTTGCCTTCCACGCTTGCTGATTTTTCTATTCGTATCCCCCCTCCCCCTCCACTTCGACTCACTCAGGATCCGCTAGAGTCCCTTTATACTGAGAGTCAAGACAACACCCCTCATGGAGTCACAAACGGGAATAAAGATTACAGAAATTGAACGTTTTTCGTACTCTTTGATCGGCTCATTCTTAAATTCCTATCTCCGTTCCTTCTCTCATTCCGTTTGTTCCTTGTCAAACCCGAAATTCCTTGGTCCATTCCAGATTTCAATCTTTGCAATTGGTGAAAATGTAATCTTTATTCCCGTTTGTGACACTGTGAAGGCCTAAAATCCGGTTAACCAATCAGAAATGGATTCGCATTGTCTTGACTCTCAGTATAAAGGGACTCTAGGATCCGCCACTGGTAGTCGGTTTCTGCAAGAGTAGAATGCGGCCTACCGGTCGGCTCAAAAGCAGACAACCCGACGTATAAATAGATCGGATAAAACCCGAGGATCAACTTCAAGTGCCAGTACGGCTAGATAAGAGGGGGTTACGCAACTCCTTTCCGTTTTGCTGGTGCACAATTATGGAAAGATGTAGTGGCTGCCGCAGTCCCGAAGGTATGCACTTCGAAAGCTTTCGAACGGGCGCGGATTGGACGAAATATAAATAACGCGGCGAGAAACCTGTTTTTCTAAAGCGGCACGGGGGAAAAAAGGAGAAAAATTGAGTCAAGGCGAGCGGGTGCGACCGCGAGTCGCATTAACACGAGGGTGGGATAAAAGGACCGAGCGCAACAGTCAACAATTGCATCGGATCCCGATACAAATGATCGATGACACTATGAAAGAGGAGATCGCAAAGGCGGATCAAGTCTTAATAATGTAACCTCCTCTTGTTGCCCGATGGGACACCTTTACCTGTGAAAAGGGATGGTATGAAGAGGATTTTTCTCCACGTTCAGGAAACAGTGTCCATGGTGCGGGTTTGTGCGGGTGTGCGCTGCACCGACGCACCGAACAATAGGGTACCTATTCAGGATTAGGATTTGACTTACTGTTTGTGTCAGGTGTTAACCTAGTGACCTACAGACGCATTCTTACACACCGCACTCTCGACGTTTTGTATCTCTTTTTCATCCTCCTTTGTCGAGGTAGGGATAGGTTATGCGTAGGATTCTTGACGAATTCATTAATATGACGAAATATTTGGGATTCTTTTCACACATCTCTCAATGGGAGTTACCTGACATCAGAGATATCAATGGCTAAAATGCGAAACTACGTATCTCCATTTGTGACGTTATCAGTGTTCGAAACTCACAGGCGCCAACGCGCCAAATGCGCCTAAAAAATCAGCCATGACGCCTAAAAAATGAAGGCTCTGCGCCAACGTGGCCCCTAAAAATTGCCCCCTAGAAATGTGAATTTTCATATTAGATGATTATTCGAAATTTTCAGCACCACAAGAGAAAGCTTTTTCTATTCTTCACGATTTCATCACTTGTGCTTTTGTCTTCCCCAAGTTACAGATACTAACTAGTTTTGTTACGAAAACATCTTGCGTCTAACTTTTCACTAAACGCGCCGTAATCTATAGGCAAAAAGTCAATTTGGCCCCTAAAAAATCTTCAATGGCGCCTAAACATCGGGCTTGATGCGCCACATGGCTCCTAAAACTCAAAGGTGAGTTTCAAACACTGGACGCTATAGACTTTCTATCAAACTTCATTTTTTCTTAGAATAACTAGTCAACGTAATTTCTTGAAAAATTCCTTGATTTTTCTTCTCTATCAGCAGAATATTCCGTATATTTTCAAGCTAGACGGATGATTTGTTCCTCTTTTATAAAAATCAAGTAAATCAAAGCGGAAATTTTGAAGCATAGCAATAGAAATACGTTGTTTTACACTTATGTCATCGATATTCAAATCAAACTCGTAGCGATGAAGGTCAGCTGAACGCTTATTTTATTTTTATTGATCAGTCTGATATGATGACCAGGGAATTCTGGCTTTTCACAAAGTTTTCTCCTTCTTTATTTATTTTTAGAGGTGTCCTGCTTTTGCAGATTTAAGCAAATGTCCTGACATTCCTGTATTTTTACATATTGCTGGCAACAATACAACTTGGGAGTACACACATCTGCTAACTTCTCAGAATACTAATACTTGCAAACTCACAACGCCTTAAAACACATTCATTTTGGTGAGAAAGAGGAAAAAAATTTCCTCAGAAACACGTTCAGGGCCGGATTTAGCGGGTGGCCACATGGGCCGCGGCCCATGGCGGCAAATTTATGGGGCGGGAAATTTTGCAATTTTTTTAAATGTAGGTATAAAAAAAAATCGGATTCAGTAAAAAAATTACGAACGGGAAAAGGCGACAAAATCTCTCACTTCCGGAGAGAACAGTAATTTCTAATTTTGCCGTCTTTCGGTGACACAAGAGATAGCTCCTTTAATTAGTCAAGTTGAGAGAGAAACCAAACACGCATGGAGCGGCGCCTGGCGCAGAGAGCAACGTTGACGAGGACTTGAGATGAAAAGAAGAAGCCCTCGGTGCGGCTGTTGGCATGTAACACATATTAGCGCCTACAAGACTCAATGAATACTGCACGCATTGCGTCAAACACAGTGCGGTCGGCATCGGTCGGCGTGAAACGCATAGCGCCTACAAGACTGTATGAATACTTTAAGCATAGCGCAAAACACAGTGCGGTCAGCGCGACGATGCGGCAGAACTGAAAATTATTAAACCACATTTATGTTTGTTCTTACATAATTTTTTCGTTCATTTCTTATAAATCGAGGGCCTTGTCCACATAGAGATAGGTTTACGGAACTTAAATTTCGCGAAAAGTTCCGTGAACTTTTACTGGTACTGATGACAGGGCTTTCCCAAAAAATGTGTCCGACACGAGTAAATGCGTCTTATGCACCTCTCCCTCTCCGGCACGTTCACTTGATGGTTTTTATTGAAGTTTCGAACCGAATGAGAAGGGGGCGGCAAAATACAGGCGGCCCATGGGCGGCAAATAGGTAAATCCGGCCCTGAACACGTTGGAATGCGAATCTACCGGAGGACTCTATGCATGCATGTTTCCAACAACTGAACGGTGGACCGAATAAAAATGTGCTATAGTTTTGGATTCACGTCATGAATAATACATGAGGGATGTGTGATTTGAATTGTCACTCACTTCATGATTTTTCTTCACGAAAGCTTTTGCTACTTGAAAGAACTGGCTAATTGGAAGTGTATCAGTCTAGACAATATGTCCTCATGAAAGCAAATCAGTCTAAGTAATGCCGTCAACTTAAAAATACTCGGAGGAAAGAGCAGAGGACTCGGTAGTTCAATTGCGTTGTATCTTTTTCGTCTACGATCTGATGGCTTGCGAGTGGATATCATCTAACAAGAAAATACTGGTGCTCACTATATACCGAAGCGCGTAAAGAAGTGCGACTGGCGCCCTTTCACTTGGGTTTGTTCGTTCGTTAAGCCGCAGCCATCGAAATTAGTTCATTGGTCGTTAAATTCTCGTTGGATTCAGATTGAAACTAATTGACGCTTGTTAAGACTCCATTCATTTGCACTAACATCAAGAGAGAGAGAGAGTTTACGCAGTGCCTCTGCCTCATTCATACACATTGAAGCTCTTTGACTCCAGAACTAGACCTGGTGATGGTATTTAACATAATGAGATAAAAACGATGATTTTGAGAACTACTCTTGAGGTGTGAATTTTCGCTTTGTTATGACTACAGATTGAAATAAAAAGTGATAGTTTTACGTCAGTTGGTTTTCCTAATATTGTCGGTAATAGCTATACTTAATTAAGAACGCATACCGCAAGAGTATAGTTTCAAAATCAATGTTTTTTCTCGGTGTGGGGCCTACTCAGGGTGTCTAGTATTTTATAATTTTGAAAAATCCTGACATTTTCTTAATTTTTCATGATATTTTATAAAAAATTCCTGATTTCTTCATTTTGAAATTTCCTGATTTTTCTCGTAAAAACTATATTTAATAGAGCGCTACGGGTGAGAAATTATCGGAAACGAAGACGGCGCAACGACTCCTGCGGGGCGATTATTGAAATGATATCGACTGTATGTCGCCGCTTTGTCGTGTCGTGCCATCGACTAAGAGCCACTCAGTCGATGGCGCAACACGACAAAGCGGCGACATACAGTCGATATCATTTCAATAATCGCCCCGCTGGCACGGTAGGCAAACAGCAGTAAGGCTTCTCCGCTGAGGAGATTCGCGTCAGAAAAATTCCTGATAAAACGACTGATTTTTCCGATTTTCCTGATATTTTCCTGACCAGCCAAAATTCGTGATATTTTGCGGTTTTTCCTGATTCTAGACACACTGCTACTGCAGTCATAGAGGTGTCAAATTATTGTCTGATAAAATAAGGACGCATAAGTGACCTACCTTCTGAAGGAAAGAGTTCATCCATTTTGTGAACGTCTTCTTTTGGATGTGCAATCGTTCTTCTTGCAAGGCTTTTATTCGGCCTTGCTCGAATTTGAGCACATCCTCCCTCTGAGTCATCTCGGCTTCTTTGCCGCCAACCTTCTCATACTGCAACTCTGTGGAAAATAGAAAAAAAAATATATTAGTTAATTATAAAGAATAGTTTAATATATAAAGATGCTGAAGAAAATATGGCATCAAATCCAGAAATGGTAAAAACCGTTAGCAAGCAGAATTAAAACAGAAAACACATCAAACATTGAGCAGAAAAACAGGGTCGAAAAGGAAATATAAACAATATAATTTAGCACGGTTTTGTCAGAGGAATTTGAGTTCCTTTTCCTTCGTGTCTACTGACTTATGGATACATTTAGGGATTAATTACTTACTTAATTTGAACAATAAGTCTTCAAGATATTATCCGACAGAAATTATTCCATGATACCGGCCACGCATACGAAAATAATTTAATCAAATTTCGTAAACGCAGTCTTCTATACATCGGCGATAGTTTTCAATGACGTCTATACCAACAGTTCTCAGTGTATTTTCCGAGGGAAACACACCATTTTTCATTTTTAGGACACTGGACCGTATTGAGTACTCTCAGAATTTTTTTTTCTTCCCTCAAACCAAGACTTTTCACACTAGAAACATTGCAAATTCTAGAAATGGAAATGATGTGTCCAACTTGGGAAAATACAAGGGAGACGTACTTAGATAGTTTACTGTGAAAGCTGGCTCTACAGCATGAGGCCTCATTTTCTAACATACTTTAGAATGATTGATGGTTTTCATTAAATCGCGCATGTTGGCTTTTCCGGCGGTTCCAGCGGTTCCAGCGTATCTCAAGGGTAAAATCGTTAAGGTAACGGAGGGTGTATAGTATCTTATATTTTGAAACCTAGGTTATTTGTTCTTTCATTATATTTTGATGGTGATTCTCAGTACTGCGCACCTCGGAGGATGCAAATCTCGGATTGCGACGCTGCATTCTTCTTGTTATAATTTATTTTCTAAATAGATGAGATTTCTACGCCATTTTTTTTAAACTTCCCTAATTTTCTGCAAATTTTAAGCAATATTCTGTGGGCTCGTTCTCCTTCAATAGAATAAAATGGGAGCGGACATTTTGAAACATCGTAAATGAGATAATCGTCTTTGTTGTTTCATCATCGATTTGCAGAAATAACCAACTTTTAACAATTTTTCAGACTGTGAGCGGAACAGAATGGGTTTCTATGGTATGTTCCGGACAAACAGGCACATACTCGAGAGACCTCGAGAGTAAACAAGATGACGTAGGTGAGAACATGGGGTAAGTGTGAAATGTAAAGAAACTCGCTGTGGCGAACTGCAAAGAATGATCGTTTGAAAAGTCGGTTATGAGATAAATTCGACAATGGCGAGGCTTGATAATCGACTATCGAGTTTATTCCATTTGAAGCTATTATAAAGAATCGATTGTTATGGTGTCTGTTGCAAACACCCTGTGCATCGATTCTTTCCCATAGGTTTGAATGGCAAATCAATCGATGAATCGTACAGCACGCTACTTGTGCGACGTATTACATCAGGTGCAAATTAAAAAGATAAACGGATGCCGCGGCGCTATGTCATGCCGATAACACGGTTAATATGAACCAAGATAGAAGAACAAGGGCGCTCATTCAGCGATTCTCGCGTTGGAAAATGTTAGAGCAATCCCGACTGCAAAAAAGGCGCAGTCGCGTCATGCAAAGATGTTGGCAAGAGTCCGGCGCTAAGGCTCATTTTGACTCTCAATCAGGGTGGCTTAGAGTAAGTAACTGATGAAAATTTGGAAATTCCATGAAATTTATCATGAAATTTTAGGGGGCTTTGAATTTCATTGAAAAGTATGCGACATTCAGTTTAGAAGTTAGGGATGCAACTCGCACTGAAAACACCTGACGATACAGAAAATCTTACTTTCACTTAGTTGTGTATTTATATTCTTTTTTCTTGTTTGTAGGCGTAGAGTGATAGACGTGAATAAAATTAATGATTCTTTTAAAAGTAGGAGGTTAGATAATTTCTTGGCATTAAGCAGATAGCAAACTATACTATTTGAAACATATGTTTTATAAAGTGCGCATATTTCTGCAGATGCTTTACATGATATTTAAAATTTTGTGGAAATTTGCCACCCACTGTCTGGAATACGATGCGATCGTCACCCAGGCCTGAGATTCTCTTTGAATAATGGAGGACTTTCGGGCTTCGATAAAGACACCTTGAAAAGAAGAAAAAAAGAAAAAAACTAGGAACTAATTGTAAAATTGATCAAAATGTGCTATTGGAAAGAAAAATTTTTAGAGAGGGAATGTTTCATGAAACGAGGTAAACACGTTTTGAATAGGCACTTTGCACATTTTAAATCCTCTTAAGAAATAACTGCACTCACGCTGTCAGGAAAGAGTAAAATACCAGTTGTTCGATAAGGGAATACGCATAAAAAATTTAACAATCACGACTGCCCTTGGAAACTTTTAAAATCACTGAGTCTTCCCGTACTTGCGGTATTTTAAGCGTGAGTCACAGAGAAATGACATGTTTTTCCGCAAGTTGATTTTCTGCCCCAGAAACTTTACAGCGCAGAAAAAGCATTGATGAGTTAATAATGTCTTCTTGCTCGTTGCACTTGTATGAAGTTTTATTTTCACCCATGTATACAGGAAAAAGAAAAATATGGGAGGGTAAGGTTAAAGGGTAAAAGATTGTTCAAGTTTCATTTAGTTGCGTGAAATCAGGTTTCCTTTCCAATTCCAACTAAGAAAAAGATGCACAATCCTGGTGACATTGGTCCCTTCAAGTAACTAATAATTAAAACGAGGCGCACCCTCTGAAAAGTTCTGAGACAACTTTTAGTACTATACTGGATTATTTTTACACGATGCAAACTGAGTCTGAATCCATCCAAAAATAGTAACGCAAGGGAGACATTTAAAACTAATAAAAAGTAAATATCTTGACTAATGAGGTAGTAAAACCAACTATTTTTATACCTCGACATATAGAGGTGGGTTAGACAAAATCTGACACTGCAAAACAGGCGTTATTGAAAGCCACACAAAACATCCTGATTGTTCAAAGAGCTTACCGAAAAGTTCTAATCTCTCGTAGTGTCGCCTGATATTCTCGTTCAAGCAATAAGCTAATTCTTTTATATCTATTTCCGACATCGTTAAACACCTTCTGAGGAAATCCTGCGAAACCGATAATAATCCTTGACACCACAACTTTTACGGGAACGATTTTAACACTTGGAAAACATGCTCAACGGCAAAAAACGCGGCGCATATGACGTAAAATTCATTTGAGTAACACAATTCTTGGACTTCTGAAAAATACCGAGAAGTTAAAATAGCTAAATTATTATTTTCACCATCGACGCATCGAAGGAAAAATGATTGTTTAAAACACTGCAAAACATGGTTAGACAAAAAATCAAAACGAGAACGAAATGTTAGGAACAAACGACAACGATACGTTCGGCCTCCGCAAGAGAAAGAGACCAAGTAAGCGATACGAAAGGAAAACAAATTCTCAAACGAAAACAACAATTATCAAATTAACTATTTAGACAGTTAAGATCATTACCTCGTGAAAATTTCGGTAATCTGTGGCTTGTTAACAACGGCAACGACTTGATTCAGTTGAAGTTCAAATCTTTGAGCTCATTCAATCGACAACTGACGTTACTGAGATACAATTTTGAGCTCGCATAAAACGGAACATTTTCTTTCGGTCAAAAAGTCGAAATGAGGAAGAGATATTTTGAAAAAAAATATGAAGATTTGTCTGGATAGAGCTTCGTCTTGTATCTGAGCTTTGGGGACAGTGATTCTTTGAGTCTCTTATTCTTGATTCTAACTGAATAAACATTGGTTCCAACTTTAAAAACCTAAATTTTTTTTCTAAAATCCATCCAATTAGGGTCAGAGATCCAATAACCGTGTCATTTACCTTGGGACTTGCGACAACTAAGATTCATTTTTCCGACTGACATTAGTCGATTGTGAAAGCCTAGGATGGAAAGAATAACATTGTCAGTGGGAAAAATAAAGAGCCTCAACTTATGGACAACGCGGAATTTTCTAAGTGTGCAAGGAGAAAAACCTAATGTTTTAATACTGAACAAAATGCCGCGGTTCTTAAAAAGTCAAGTGTAAACTCTAAATAAAAACAAATCACTTGAGCCGGCGTAACAGATGACGTGTCAATTAGAGATTAAGTACTCTAATTGAAAGTAATCAAACAAGACGTCAGCACGTCTTTTCCGGGGGGCGCACGCATTTTCCACAGGTGCCCAATCACGCAATCAAGTTAACCGGCGGAGAGTGAAAGAGGAAGACGAGTAATTGCGCTAATGAAGCGTTAACTTTCTTGTGATCGCTCATCTCATTCGACGAATCGAGGAATAACCTTTAACTGTTGGTAGGTTCAGTCGTGCGAGAAGGGCTTGGAATTTCACATCATCTTGGGGGCGGGCTTGGATCCGCTACGAAAATGATCTCGCTAAACTTTGTACAAACAAGATTAGAGCCACGGTTATTGACTCCGAGCCATAATTGAATAAACACATCAGACGGTTTCAGCCGTCAGCTTGAAATATTGCTCGATTCGAAGCTGGAGGTCTGGATTTAAAAACTCAAAACTGTTCGATTTTGAAAGATAGATGTTCATGGCGTTACTCTAATTGCTGATCAATTTCCAGTAATTGGTTTGTTGTGATCAAGATGTACAGCCAAGTGAGAAGATTATGTAAAGGTAAACTCTTACAAAAATCACAATGGACACATCAAGAAAGTCTACCTCTTCAGTTAGCTTGCAATCCGGTGGCCTGAGAGCGTCATCACGTATCTCCGTTTGCGACATTGCAGACCTCCTGTCATGCTTTATTTTTTCCTTGGAAAAATATATGAGGCCAACGAAATTTCTTGAAAATTTCCGTGATTTTTCCTCTTTATAAGCATAATATTCTGCGTAAATTCAAGCTGTAATACTGACTCGCTTCTCTTAGAAAAATGAAACCACGAGCGGGGATTTTAAAACACCACTTGGAGGTACGTGGTTTCGCACATGGGCCCTCGAA